CCCACGTTATGTTGAATCTTAAAATTGTCCTGTTGAGTAATCTGTGTCTCTGTCTCTACTCATAGTAGGATGTTAATGGAAAATTTCATCTCTAATTCTCCTGCTCCCCCGTCTAATCCACTTAGTCCGAGAACAAAACGTTGGCTCCTTTTAATCAGTTTGATGGTGGTGATTTATTCTGTTCTACATGGGTGGCATGAATGAATGCCTTGGCAAGGGGAAGAGAAGTGTTAAAAAGCGGCTATTGCCAAAAATACCTTGGAACGGGGAATGTGAGGACAGCTTCAAATGACCTCATTCCCTGTGACTTTAGACACTCTGTAAAACCAGCGTCCATGCTTTTTATCGTCAAAACGGTATTTCTTGACTTAGAGGCTGGGAGGTTCATTGTATCAGGGGCCAACTAGAAAATTTTATTTCAGATCTGCTCTTCAAACGTCAGCCTTTCAGAACCCCCTAATTGTTCTGACCGTTTGCTAAACAAAGTCATTTATGGGACAGCAGAGACTTGAATGGCCAGTGGCTAAGATGTTTATCCCAGGTTGCCTCCTAATCCTTCCCTCCATCTCCAGAATTTTCCCTCTCCAATCCATCCTTCACACAGTTGTCAAAATAAATCTTCCTAAGGCACATGTCTGACATTGTGACTCCCTAGCTAAAAAACTTTCTGTGGCTCCTTGTTGCTTCTAGGATAAATTCAGACCCCTTAGCCCCGCATTTCTGGCCCTCTGCATCATTTCACATTACACTCTTCATGCATAAAATTGGACTGCTTATCTAGCTATTTCCCAAATGCTCACTCTGTGTATTCACCCAAGTACGAGCCAGGAATAATAGCTAACATTTATATAGCATTGTAAAGTTTGCAAAGAGTTTTGCATATGTTAACTCATTTCCTTCTTGCAACAGCCCTTGGAAGTATGAGCGGTGTTTTCCAGATTAGGAAATTGAGGCAGACAGAGGTTAAATGACTTGCTCAGGGTCACACAGCTGCTAATGTCTGAGGTTGAATCTGAACTCAGGTCTTCCTGACTCCACATCCTGTGCTCTATTCACCATACCACCTGGCTGCCATGCACTTCCTTCTAAACTCTGTCTCTTAGTACTATAGGAGCATACATTTAGAGCTGGTTAGGACCCCGAGACCATCTTGATTTGCCCAAGGCCACAAAAGTAGTAACAGACAAATCTAGTATTTGAGGCCAGGTGTTAGTGAAGGGGTGAAGAGGGGGCAGATTGTAGAGGGGTAGGATGAGTCAAGTTAAGTTGGTATGCATTTCTTAAGCACCTGCCTACTCTGTGCCAGGCACTGTGACACAGGTGGTGAATGAGCTCTTTCCTTCCTGTAATCTCTCAAGCTGTGTTTTCAGGACGCAGAAGTAGGAAGGTTTGTGTGTGTGTGTGTGTTTGGGTCGGGGGGAGGGGTGATGGAAATGACCCTTGCCACAGTAGTCCTCATTCAGGTCTCCCTCAAACACATACCGTGACACAAAGACAAACTCACTGCCTCTCTCTAAACCTCAGTTTAGAGGCGATAAGGATTTGTGCCACCTATTTGATGGGGTTGTTAGGAAGAAAACACTATGTCAGATATAAAATGTGTAGCCAAACTGGTCTTGCTTTTCCCTATATGGAACATTTCTATCTCATGCCTTTGCTCTGTTGCTCATGCCTATAATACAGTCCTTCCTCCTCTCTGCCTTTTGGAACCCTGAGCACCCTGAGAAGCTGTCTCAAGAGACATGCCCCACAAAAGGCCTTTTCTGATGTGTACCCCATCCCTCCTAGTAGGGGTCTTGTAACTTTGTGTATGTGTTGTATTTATCTATGTAAAGTTCCCTCAACTTGAATATCCGACATCTCCTTTTCTCCCTAAAATGCAGATAGGTCTGTTTAATCCAAATAATGAATCCCCTGCCCATCAATTGGGGAATGGCTGAACAAGTTGTGGTATATAAATGTAATGAAATACTATTGTGCTGTAAGAAATGATGAGCAGGCAGACTTCAGAAAAACCTGGAAAGACTCGTATGGACTGATGCTGAGTGAAGTGAGCAGAACCAGGAGAACGTTGTACACAGTAACAGCAATGTTGTATGATGATCAACTGTAAATGACTTAGCTATTCTTGGAAACGAAATGGTGAAAAACAATTCCAAAAGATTCATGATGGAAAATGCTATCCACCTCCAAAGAAAGAATTGATGGAGTCTGAATGTAGATCAAAGCATACTATTTTCACTTTATTTTTTTTTTAAGTTTTTTATTTTGGTCTGTTTCTTCTTTTATAACATGACTAATATGGAAGTATGTTTTACATAATTGCATGTATACAACCTGTATCTAATTGCTTACCGTCTTGGGGGAGGGGGAGGAAGGGAGAAAATTCGGAACTCAAAAATTTTTTTAAATGAATGTTAAAATTTGTCTTTACATGTAATTGGGGAAAAAATACTATTAAAAAGAAATAATGGATCTCCGTGAAACAGTCCCATTACTTGAATTCACACTATATATTTCCACTGGGTTGGAACCCTTATCATATTTTACATAATTATCCATTTGGATACCTGCAGCTCCTGGTAATGATTCATTACTTGAACTAACTGGGACCTAGCTGTGGTTTCCATTTAGGATTCCTGAACGTTATTTAGAGAGCATCTGATGAAAGCTTTGCTAAGCCCAGAGCCTGAGGAGCTTTCAGAATAAGCATGGTTTGTGGGACAACTGTCTGATTAGGGAGATTTCATTTAGAAAGATGCAGGATCCTAGATTTAGAAGGGTTCTCAGAGGTCATCCAGTCCAGCCCCTTCATTTTTACAGGTGAGGAAACTGAGGACGAGAGCAGTTACTTGAGTTAGCCAGGGTCACACAGCTAGTAAGTCTCTGAGGGAGGATTTGAACTCATGTCTTCCTGACTCCAAATTTAGCTCTCTAGCCATTGAACCACCAATGCAGGTGAAAAGGTTCTACATTAAAAAGGAGTTTGGTCTCCACAGAAATGAAATCTTGTGATTCTACACTTAAGAGGCTTAGAGGAGGTATAGCTGGATAAAAATAAGTTCATGATGCTATGTGTTTGACTGGGAGTCAATCTACCAAAGCCCAACCCAGTGCCCTGCACACAGGAGGCTCTCCATAAATGTTCATTTCATTCACTTGAATTGAGTTCCCTCAGTGATGTCAGTCATCAATCATTTTAATTAATTAACTTAATAGTTTAATGTGTCAAGTGATTTGACGTGGCCTGCAGCTCCTCCGGTGTTCTTACATCCCGTGCTTACCGTTAGATTTTCTTACCAAGCATCCAAAGGCATTGTTCTCTTCCCTGGACCTGTAGTGGGCCGTTCCCCAGGGTCTCTTTAAGGAACAGGGCCACACTTCCTGCAAGGAAAGCTTCCTTGGGACATCCATCTCCATTTTCTTTCTAGTCTGGACCATGAAAAAGCAAGCCCAATACATGTGGACACAAATGCCTCCTTTGCTGAGACTATCTGAATAAAGATGCTGAAATATGAGGCAATGGGGAAGGCCTCCATCAATGCACTCTCAGATTCTATTCTAGCAAGGAATAGAGTTAGAATCTGAACCCAAGGCCTCTGCCTCTAAATCTAGTGCACTTTCCTTGACATCACACTGTCTCTGCTGAATTTGGTCTACGGTGAGAGCTTATCTAACAGAATACTGACATCACTTTGGGCGAGCTGGATGAAGGGGCAATCAGCCCTATATCCAGGATATGTTTTCTCCTCATTTCCTATTAGATGGCACCAATTTTCAGGACTACTAGAATCAACGTGGGACAGGAAGAGACCAGTGTTTAAGAAAACACATGGGCCTAGTATTTATGAGCCGATAATAATAATAGCATTTATAGAGAGTTTTAAGGTTGGCAAAACATTCTACAATACTTCCTTTTTATCCTCACAACAGCCCTGTGAGGTAGATGCTATTATTACTCACATTTTATAGGTGAAGCAGATAAAGGTTAAATGACTTGCCCAGGGTTGCACACCTAGCAAGTATCTGAGGTCAAATTTGAACTCAAGTCTTCCTGACTCCAAGCCCAGTGCTCCATCCACTGAGCCACCTAGCTAAGGAAGAACTGGACATTTTTCAAGAACCCATCCACCCCACACACCTACTTTTTTGTTGTTGTTGTGTGTGTGTAAGATTTGTTGTTATTGTTCAATCCTGTCCTGATTTGGGGTTTTCTTGGCTTGCTAGTTCCTTCTCTAGCCCATTTGACAGATGAGGAAAACTGAGGCAAACAGAATCACACAACTAATAAGTGTCTATTCCTGATTCCAGGCCCAGTGTTCTATCCACCGAGCTGCATACCAGGTTTCTAGCCCAACTTTTTTTTTCTTTTTTGCTATTAGTGGCCTGGCTAATTAAGATAAATACTGAGGAGATCTGGCAAGCCAAACCCATTTCCAGCACACACCCTTTATTAGAATAAAGGCATTAACTGCAACAATGTGGATCCATCCTGACACCCAGCAGTTCTCCAGGATTCCTGGGGCGGGCCTCCTGCCAGGTAAGCAGATGGGTTGAACTTGGTCATTGAACTCTATGGCTGTGTAGGTCTTCAGGAGAGCAAGGTTATTTTCCAGGGTCATGTCATTGAAGCCCTTATGCCTGAGGATGGCAGAGATGGGATGTTCTGGCTGGGTTCTTCTCCTGGCATTCATGTCAGTGATACCAACCAATGCCAAAACCTTCTTCCTGGAGAGACAACAAAGTGTGGAGTGAGCCAAAATGGAATGAACGGAGTTTCTCCACTGGCAGCCAGGAAGAAAAGAAGCCACTGATTCCTACCCCTTCCCCCCAACTCCCCTCCCCCAAGCTTTGCTTTGGGGGGACAAACCCTTGGTGCCAAAGGGACAAGGAAGGGAACATTAACGGAGCAGGCTTCTGCTCCAGGAATCCCTTTTAATCACTGATTACACACCACACCCCCTCTTATACTTTGTGTTCCAGCCAAAGCTGGCCTGCTTTATATTCCCTGGATGTGACATTGCTTTAAAAAACATTAGAATTATTTTTCAGTGAACATGCCTTTGTTTTTTCTCCTTTCTACTCCACTCTTTTCTTTCCCTCACCATTGGGAAAAGATAAAAAGACAAACAAAACCCTTGTTAACACAAAGGTTCAGTCAAGAAAAACATATTCTCTCATTGGCCATAGAGGTGACATTGACTGTTCCCAGAAAGCTCTTCCCCTTACCTTGTTCAGTCGTGTCTGACTCTCCATGACCCGATTTGGGGTTTTCTTGGCAAAGATACTGGAGCAGTTTGCCATTTCCTTCTCCAGCTCAATTTACAGTTGAAGAAACTGAGGCAAACAGGGTGAAGTGACTTTTCCAGAGTCACACAGCTAACGTATGTCTGAGGCTGGATTTGAACTCAGGTCTTCCTGACTCCAGGCCCAGTGCTCTATCCACTGTACCACCTAGTTGCCCTACCCTTAGCCTCTTAAAATCCTCAGTTCCTCTCAAGGCTCAGCTCAGATGCCACCTCCTGATTTCTCCAGTTGTTAGTGGTTCTCCCAAACTATTTTCTGTGTATATTTTGGGTTTATCTATGTACATGTCGTCTCCCCCAATAGAATGTGAGCCCTTTGAGGGTAAGAACTCTTTGATTAATATCTTTGTATGCCAAATGCTTGGCACGTGATAGGACCTTAATAAAGGTTTTTCAAAGGAATGAATGAACTTCATATGAACAACGTCATAAAGGATGATAGTAGTCTTTTAGCTTGGTGTCTCTGTAGGTTACAGGAAAGGGTGGGGAAACCCAGACTTCCAAAAATCTTAAGCTCACTGTTGGCTAGGAGATAGTGGGAGAGGAGGCAGGGAGGAAGGGAAGGAACCACAAAGTATCTTCACACATGCTGGGGCACCTCTAACTCTTCCCCAGCTCTTCCAATTAGAAACCTGGTTTCTCACATTTTTCACTAATCCAAAGTGATAATGATGACATCAAAGGGAAAGGGCCCTGGACTGGTAAGGAAGGAGCAGCGTCTTCCTGTGAGATCAGCCAGTGCTTTTTCATCATTCATTCTCTCTGGAATTCAGATAGAATTTCATTTTTCAATTGGCCTTGTTACTGGATTTCCCATGGCAGGTTCAAAACAAAACAAAACAAAAATAAAACAGCCCAACCAACCCTGCTGAGTCAAGCCTTTGGAGGCTGAGAATTTTTAGAACTCAGCATGCTGTGTGGTGCAAGAAGGGTTCAGCCTGTCAAATTCCTGTTGCCAGAGATGAGAGACGAAGCATGACCTCCAGAGACAGGGTGGGCACAATGTGCCAGACTAGCTCCACCTTTAAGCACTCCCCCTTGCCTTTCCTCTTCCCACCCTCAACTCCTTCCCTTCCCCTTTCCAGGTCCTAGTACCTATCTGAGCTAGCTAAGATGTATGAATAAGCAAACAGTGGATGCTGGCCTGTTCTGAAAGCAGGAAGCGATGCTTAGGATCCAGAACTCATTTAGGATGCATCCAAAAGTCAAATGGGTATACCAGGAATCCTGCAAGGACACTACCCAAGGGAATGTATCCACAGTGGCTAAATCATCATCATCATTATTGGGGAGAAAAGCAGAAATGAAGCTACTTTGGACCAAACAACCTGCAAGGGAAAGGTAGGCCAAGCTCTCAGACAAGGTCTTACTGCAGCAGAATCAAAGACTTCTTGGGCCTGTCTCTTGCTGTTTTCTCGCTGTCCCCTCTACTCTTGCCTTAAACTCTTATCAACCAGGACAAAACATAGTTTGTGTTACAAAACTAGCTCAATTTATTTCCAAATAAAATTTTTCTTTTTGGGTTCCTGCACAGGTAACAAAATAAATAAAAATAAGATAAACCTTATTTGGTATGTACATGGGTTTCCTTTAAGATGGAAAGGGAGAGAGAGAGAGAGAGAGGAAGAAGATGAAGAAGAGAAGGAAGGAGGGAAGAAGAGAAAAGGAGGGAGAATGAAGAAAGGAGGGAGAGAAGAAAAGAGAAGGAAAGAGAGAGAAAGGAAAGGGAAGGAGAGAGAAGAAAGAGAGAGAGGGAAGAGAGAGAGGAGGAGGAAGGGAGAGAAGAAAAGAGAAGGGAGAGAAGAAAAGAGAAGGAAGAAGAGAGAGGAAGGGAGAGAAGGAGGGAAAGAAGATGAGAGAGAGGGAGAGAGGGAGGGAGAGAGAGAGGCAGAGAGAGAGATTGAGAGAGACCCCAAGATAAAAGGGAATATTCATATTTTCTAAAATGTCTCCCTTGAGGACAAATATCTTTTGTAATATGTAAACAAAAGCCTTTCTTTGAGAAATCATCCTTCGATGAGATTATTAGATTAGGTAGACTTTGGCTTTTCTTTCTTCCTCTTGTCCCTTGTAGAGTGAAGATATGGCCTTCAGGACATTCCTGGCCATTTATCTCATACAGATGGGATGCTGCTATTGTGAGAATGTTCCTAGTACAGCTGAGGGCAAGCAAAGCTTGTGCTAGCAGAATGCTGATAGAATTGGTACAATCTTTTTGTTGTTGTTTAATAACTCACAGCTATCTACAAAGTCATCAAATGTCCCTCTAGACATTGTATCATGAATGTGGTAAAAGGAAAATAACATCTACTGGCTATATCTGTTCAATATTATTTTTTTTTCATCTGTGATATTTGAATGCCTATTTCTTCTTATGCACCTTACGACTTGAATCAATTGCCCTTCAGGCCATGGATAGTGCTTAATACATAACCTTGCTTGTCTGATAATACTCCTCTGGGTCCAGTATTTCAGACCGGACTCTCTTCTCTACTGGACATTGCCCATGGGACTCACATCCCATCCAACACTCTGTGACCATTCCATTCATTCTCACAATTAATTGGTCTCTAGACCCAGATGTGTGAATCCCTTTACAGGCTGAGAGAAGATTTCTGCCCTACAAATAGTACTGGGATCCCACAACTTAACTGTTTGACCTCAACTCCCAGTGAATATAACATTCACTTTTAGACGGTATTCAACACATCTGATGATTGTACATAGCATAGAATCACAGATTTAGAAATGGAAGGGACCTTTCAAGGCCAGCTAGGACATGTTTTAGAAGAGGTCTACAGAGGTAATATGACTTGCCCGAAGTCAAGTAGGTAGTAATTGATAGAGGAAGAATTTGAACCCAGGTCTTCTGACTCTAAAGCCTGTCCTCTTTCCACCATACCATGCTGCATCACAGGTTCTTAGAAGGTTCTCTTGCTCAGTATTACATGCATGCATTTTTTTGAGGCAATCAGGGTTAAATGACTTGCCTAAGGTCACGTAGCTAGTAAGTATTTGAGGCCAGATTTGAACTCAGGTCCTGACTCTAAGGTTAGTGCTCTATCTACTCTGGGTCACCTAGCTGCCCCACTTTTTCAATTAATGCATTTTCGATTAATGATCTAGTACCCTGACTCCTTGGTAGCACACCAAGGACAGCACCAAGGTATCAGTTTATGAGTACCATGGTCATGGTTGGCATATCACAAACCGGAAGAGCTGTCGTCTTTGAGAAGTCAATTTAGCTCGAATCCTTTGGACCCAATCATCTTGTCTCCTGTTTGCTGGTCACCATGTGTTGGTCCTTACTGCTTCCTTTTACCCTTTATCCATTTCATAATCTCCTCTATTATTGCCATTCCATCCTGTGTTCCACTGAGTCTTTCCCCTCCCTGCAAAGGGTCCAGAAATCACAGTGGCATGTTTGAGCCCTGTGAGCAGGGCATAATAAACATGTATGGTTTAATGAACAAAGTTTCTGTGTTTTTCCTCTCTGGCATCCAAGTCCTGTAGTGTATTTGCATTCTCTGGCAGGTGCAGTGTTGATTCACTCCAAATTACAGGCACCTAGGATAGTCTGGGCTTAGTTTTGCCTTGATGTTAAGTTAAATATTAGTTGAACTTTCAGATAGAGCACTAACATACTTGAACCCTATTTGGTTCAAGATGTCATGTAAAGCAAATACACAGACCAGCTTTTTCCTCACAATTGAGGGAGAGGCTGGAAACATAGATAGAACACAAGGACAGCTTACCTTGTCATTTCATTACCAGTTTGGAATTTCATAAAGGAATTTTTGGGGAAAAGCTTCCAGCACTAAGATTCCCCAGACCTAATTGTTGTGGAAGCTTGATTTTCAATTCCTAAGATCTTAGAGTTGGAGATCACCTAGTCTAACCCTCTTATTTTACATGGGGAGAATCTGAGACTTTGAGACATAAAGCAATTTGCCCAAGGTCACGTGGCTAGCAAAGTAATAGGACTGGGATTTGAACTTGGGTCCTCTAGCTCCCTGGAGTTGAATTGCCAGTGATCATTCCATGTTACCTCTCAAATGAGCTGAGCAATGTCTGAAAATGACATGAAGACATAGAAGATGGTAAAAGGAAAATGAGCTGCTACCATATGCACTGGTTGGGTTTCCATATTGTATATGGTAGCTAAACATTAACAAAGATCACCCTTCAGGCATGACTTTTGGTTATGACATGCCACTGACTCTCTTCCATTATCCCTTAGTCTCTTGGTTCCATGTTTGTCTTGTCTTACCTCTGCTACACATGGATTTACTTCCTCCTCCTTCTCCCTTCCCTTTCTAACTGCCTTGGTATCCCCCAACCTCTGATTCCTTGAATATTGAGACTCCTGACATTGGTATCTAGTCCATTTACTAGAGAGAGAAGAGCCTTACCATCCTCATTCCAGCTCTAAGAGGAGAGTCAAAACAAAGATCCAAGAGGGTGTTGAAAAAGTCCTACTTTGTTTTTGCTTTTCTGAAAAGAAGTCAAGGTCAAAAAGCTGCCATGGGGCATTGCTCAGGCATCTAGAACTTTATGGATTGTATTGGACTTAAAACCGATTCCAATGGGATATAAACACAATTTGATTGAAGAAAAACATAGATTTAGAAGAGGAAGAGGTCTCACAGATCACCCACACACAAAAATTCTTTCATATAATAACAGTCAGAATGTTATAAATGTGTTATTCAGTAGTCTACTTTGAAAGATCTGCAATGTGGAGTCCTCTCTCTTTGCATCCTACGTAATTCTTGTCCATGTTTTTCCATAAGTCCCTAGTAGAAGTTCTAGCTAACCCCTGGAGATTTTCCTCTTTTAGTATCTTGGGTATGCTGCTTGAGCTGTCCATCTGTTGACTCCCATTCTCACTAGCCCACATCCTTTTCTGGTCAGATGAATCCTCCATAATACCTTTTATCCCACTTCTTGCGTGCAGATCTTTTCTTAGTAACAAGCTGCTGCCCGCCTGTAACTACCATGTATCTTTCCATTGTCCTTTGGATTATGAACTAGAGACTGTAAATAATGGACACTTCCAAGACTCACCAATTCAGCAGAGTGCCTTCTGAATCATCTAAGAGTGAATGGCATTTAATTGAATTCACCGAACATTTACTAAGCATCCACTGTTCTAGCTAGACCCTGGGAAGACAAAGGCAAAAACGAAACAAGCCCTTCCCTCAAGGAACTAATAATATAAGGAAGGACGGGAAACAAGCTTTTATTAAGTGTCTGTGCTAAGCATTTTGCAAATATTATTTCATTTAATCTTCACAACTCTAGATGGTAGGTGCTATTATTATCCCCTTTTTACAATTGAGGAAATTGAGGTAAAGGTAAAGTGACTTGCCCAGGGTGACATGGCTAGTGTCTCATGCTGGATTTGAACGCTTGTCTTTCTGACTCCAGGCTCAGGCTCTATCCACTGCACCACCTAGCTGCTTCTACAAGGTAAGGAGTGATGGGAGTAAGGAAACATTTTAAAACATTTTATTGTCGAATTCTTTGGGAAATGGTCACTTATGTATCATATACATGGTAAGTGTCTATTAGTCATGATACTTTATTACCAGGGCATCTTATTCCTTAACCATGTAATGGAATAGAATTTAATCTACGGTAATAGCAGTAATAATACTTTGCATTTGTACAGAACATTTTCTGTTTCAAATAATTTTCTTATCTATTATCTCATTTTATTTTACATCTCTGGAAGGGAGGGAGGGAGGTGTCATTAGTTCCATTTTTCAGCTGAGAAAATAGGATACAGAATAATTGGGTGATTGGCCCCAGGTTCCATAGTTAGTGGCAGCCTATGTCTTCTGACTCCTAAGTGTAAAGCTTTAAAAAAAAAACAACCATCATTTGAGCACCAGTTACGGATAATCCAGGCATTATTTTTGGGCTGGCCTGAGGCAAAATGGTGCCCTAGGGGCAATTTTTATCTCCTTCCACAGCCTAACTTGACATCTTCAGGGGAAGTACTTATGGTAGGGTGATAACCAGGTAAGGGGAAAGAGGTTAGGAAAGCAATGGAATGGGGAGAACAGAAGAAAAACCAGGAGAGAAAGAGATAAGCATCGTAGCAGTAAGAAAAGGGAATAGGGATGATTGTATGTGGGAGAGGAAAAGAGGCAAAAGATGGGAGGAGATAGGAGAAGATAGCCTGGGGAAAAGTGAGTAGTAGGGAATGGGGGGATAAAGAGAAAGAGGAATGGGAATAACAGGGAAAAGAGAGAGAAGAGAGAGAAAAAGGAAACAAGGCAGAGAAGAAAGAGCAGTGGAAAGAAATTAAGGGAAAAGGATA